TTTTTACGATGAAACCTTTTTAAATTAAACATTATTGATCTACTATAATTAATAATATAATTTTAATAAATATACAAGAGTAGGATATATTTTGTTATTAATTTTTACAAACTCTTTTTCTCTTTGTTTATTACAAATGTGTATTTATAAAAATACTTTATTATAAATATATTTTTACATAAGAATATTTTTTAATAATATCAAATACCACTATAAGAACATATATGCTTAGAAAATTAAATAACCAATAGAACTCCTTTGATAATCAAACAAATAAATAAACAAATAATAATAATAATATTTAAATGTACGATTTCAAACAGAGTTGCATACTAACTTGGTAAAGCTTTTATCCCTTTTATATGTAAATCCCTTATATACAATATATATATTCAACACACCCCCCCCCACACACACATATATATATATGACTTAATGACTCGGTAAAAGTCCGTGAGCAGAATGGAGACTAGAAACGAGATAATCTGTCGTTCGCAATGAACTTTGCCTATTGTGGGTTGCGCTAGAGAAGTTTCTCCTAGTCATCGTCCTTAGTTTGAAAGGCACATACAGAAAGTATAAGTGAGATAGAGATAGAGAGATAGAAATAGAGAAAGAGGGTTGGTTTACGTGCGTGTCTATCTCTATGTGAGAAGAGTATGAAACGACTGTACCGATAATTCTGATAAGGCCACTCCTGCATGCATGCATCGCACTACACCACCACCACCACCACCACCATCACCACCATCACCCACTACCACCACCACCACCACAACTGATGCATATTATATACAGACATGGGCGACTGTTAAAGGACAAATAGGAACATGCGTGATAGGACAAGTTTGCAAGTTAAATGGTCCATAAACGCTAGTTTGAATTAGTTGCTCTGCACTTGCTAAATATAACATAGACCACGCTCAAGTAAATATACCTTTGGATACTAAAATTATTTGCATCATTTTATTTCTATTTTATTACTATTTTATCGTTAAACATTTCTAACTTATTTCTAAATTTATATTTTATATAAATTTATTTTTTTTTTCTTATTTTGAAAATAATTTCTGATATGTTCGTTTTATTAGGTGATTATTATAATTTGTATTTATTCGTAATAATTAATTGATGAATTAAATTTGTCCTTATGTATCGTTATTTATTACAATATTTATTTAATAAAACAAACTTTAGGATTTCTAAATAAATTTAAAAATTTATTCATCGACATATATTGAATTATTCGTTGATATTTAATTTTAATATTACTAATAATGTTAAATAAAAGTAATATTTTTATTTTTCTAAACTAATATATCTTCATTCTTATATAATATTAAAATTAATATTAATCAAACTGAGTTGAAATTTCTAACTGAATAATTAATTACATTGGAAGAATAATCTTGACCAAATTGAAAAATAATTGCAACATTTATAATCATTTCTTATTTCCCAATCGTTATCAGTGTTTTTATCAATGGTTTTTCCCAATGATCGTTTTGTAGTTAATGACCAAAAAAAATGAAATCTATTATAAACCATGTCATTCGATGAATGTAGAAAAATTATAGTCATTTAGAACTATCGAGGATATAGTTTATTTTGTTAAAAAAAAAGTCATCAATCGAAAGAGATATATCTTGATCTAAGAGACGAAGTAGTAGTAGTAGTAGTATCAGTAGTAGTAGTAGTAGTAGTAGTAGTAGTAGTATCAGTAGTAGTAGTAGTAGTAGTAGTAGTAGTAGTATCAGTAGTAGTAGTAGTAGTAGTAGTAGTAGTAGTATCAGTAGTAGTAGTAGTAGTAGTAGTAGTAGTAGTACTTTCGTAGGGAATGGCCAAGTTCACTTCAGGGACCATCCTCGACCCAGTTGAAAATCCCTTAGGAGGATACTTCCTCCTACTGTTCAGTTTGGTTACATTACGGCGAGTGCTGCAAACTTTAGGAGTAAAAAATAATTTCGTTGGCAATATTCGTACCTTTCCTTGAAAATTCTACCGGCCGGGTTGGGGAAGGGTGGGTGGAGAGAAAGAAAGAGAGAGAGAGAGAGAGAGAGAGAGAGTGGGTGAGCTTTTTCTACGAGTGCATTCGTCGACGACTTTCTTCGGACGAGTCATTGAAACAAATTTCTTTTTTTTTTTATCCTCTTCTTTTTATCTTTTTCTTCTTCTTCTTCTTTTATCTTTCTCAGAAACAAAAATAAAAAATTAACAAAAAAAAAAATAAAAATAAAAAGTAAAGCTGAAACATCAAAAGAAACGACAAAAGGATCCTTTTTACTAACTGTTAATCTTTTTATTTTTTATTTTCACTGTACTTAAAATAAATTTTTCTTCTTTAATTAGGTTACTTCTCAACCAGTATTGTACGCTAAAAATACAAAGATAAATTCTAACTGGTGTATAATAATTAATAATCTTTAATTAAATTGATTGGTGAACGAAAATTGAAAAGTTTGTTAAGTAATATTTTCCTATCTTCTTTCTCTTTTTTTTTTTGTGATAAGAATTACAAATCGAGGATGATAGGAGGTGGGTGGGAAATAATAATACGAGGACCGAAAATGAGAATATCTTGAAACTTCCTGGATTTGCCCAGAGGAATTTGAGTAAGCCTCGACGAAGGCTTGTAAAATTAATAATGACAAAAGAGAGAAGGAAGAGCGGACAGCTTTGACCAACCTGAATCGCTTCTATGAACTGTACTTTGTATATATATATACGTAACAAATCTACCTAAATACATATATACATACGTGTATTATATATATTACATATATAAGCTATGTATAAATAAATATATATATATATGTATGTATGCATGTATATGTCATGATGCCCCATTATGCTTATGAATATAAATGCACCCATGGGGATGCTAGCAATAAATGCCGACCACTGGCCTTGCGGATCTCTGAATTCTGCTTTGCTGGGCGTAATTCGACTACACGTGCTACCCCCTTTCTTTCTCACCCACTCTCTCACTTTCTCTCTGTCTCTGTATATTTTTTTTTTAATTTTTTTTTGCGCCTTTTACTTCCAAAAATGTAGAAACGCGAAACGACTGGACGGACTATTTTATTTTGTTTTTCTTTTCCATTTTTATTACAGCATCCTACAAGTTTTGTTTTGTATCTAACATAAGAGAAAGAGAGAGAGAGAGAGAGAGAAAGATAGAAAGGAATATAATAAAAGTAATTAAAACAATGGAGTATTTTCTAAAAAAACTATAACAATAATGATAATAACTAGGATAATTAATAACTATACTAATGAGCACAAACACACGCACACTTATCTTTATAATAAATATCTTTAACATTTTAAAAATTCTTATCTGATAATTCTAAAAAACGATAAAAATGGAATAAAACAATGAAAAAATAAAACTGAAAACACTACGCAAAAGTTTTGCAATAGTTTGGAAAGTTTAAATTTATTTTTGACGATCTTTTCATAAATTCAAATATTATAATATATAATCTAATAGTTATTTTAGTTCAGATAGTATAATAAATAGCTTAACAGTTATTTTATACTATAATATTAAAATATTTCTATACGTATTTTCTTTCAAATCAAATTGTTTTCGAAAAAAAAAAAATAAAATAAAATAAAATGAAAAAAGAAACAAAGAAAAAAGTAGAAAAAACCTTTGTCCAGTATTCACATGCAGTTTTTGTTTCAGTATGCAATAGCGTGCAGATCTGCCGAATTTTTTTTTTTCAACGTGGTTCCTTTTTCTCTCTCTCTTTCTCCGATTAATTCCCGCATCCTGACTGATCCTTCTCACACCACAAAACCCTCTTTGATTCCCCCGTCCTAACCCTCCCATCCCCCTTCCTCTTCTCGGCCCACTTCTCGCGTGTCCACCAGCTTTACTCGCTCTTGGATCATTTCCAAACGTTTGAATCTGCTTTCGCACCTTTCTCCATTTTCGCCTACTCCACCTGCATGCAGTCTCCCATCATTTTTTTTACTATTTTCCATTTTTTTATTTTTTTTTCTCTTTTCTCTTTCTTTTTCCTTTTTTTTTTTTTGACCTATCTGCGAAAAGCCATTTCCCTTTTATCCGATTTGTCACACTAAATTTCCTTCATTATCATTCTCTTCGATCGAAACCACCTCCTTCACTCCCCCCTTCACCCTTTAGCTCACCCCTCGCAACGGTAAAGTACTTTTCCTTTTATCGTCATCGAATTTATTAACATTACGAGACTTGATTTACTCCCACCATCCCTTCAACCCTTTTTTTATACCTTTTTTTTCAAAGTTTACGAAATAAGTTCATTCGGATTTTTATTTTTTTCTTTTTTTTTTTTTTAATGTTACATAATTATTGATCCCTTTAAAGCGTACTCCTTTTTTATGGGACGTTGTTTATCCTTAAAAAATTAGTGGAAAAACAAACATAAATCGTAATGGGAAAAATTAATCGATCATTATATCATTTTGCGAGTATTTTAATGAAAATCGTCCGACTCACTTGTAGGTATTTCCTTTCGTAGAAAAATAAAATTACAGTTATTATTTAGCCTATGGGGAAGAAGAAATAAATCAATCAATTGAATGAATTCGTCGAATGATTGTAAAATCAAATTTGACGATGATCAATCATTTTGATTTTACTTGAATAATTTGACATTAGTTTGCGAATATACTTTGATGGGTTTGAAAATTGGTGTCTATTTGGTAAATTATTGTCAATCAAATTGAATACTTGTTTACTTACAAAATTAAAAAATAGAATTACAATTTCTAAAATTATTTCTATCACTGGCCTAAATGCAAGATTTTCTTTTAGTATTTTTCATTTTTTTTAGTAAAAAAATTAATGAAGATGATTAGAGTTGTGACAAACTATTTCATCTTTTGTCTAACATCGAATGTAACTCGAATTTCTATCGTTAAAAGAGAAATACGATAACTTAGGATGGTGATACGGGGTTGGGTTAAGTCAAGGAAAACACTAATATTATTTTCGTTTCTTCTTACAG